AGACCTGTATGCCGCGACCGCTGTTTGGAATGTAAGCTTCAATGGTGTAAGTGAAATCCGCACCAGCGAACTTTTCCATCTCGGTTTTCCTTCCCTTGATAACAGGAACCGCTAGAAGTTCCTCATATATTTCAGCATAAAGGTCGAGGATTGTTGATACCTATGGATATTGTGGTTATCGGAAAAGTATCAAAACACCGTTTCCTACTTCAATGACAGCCTCTTCCCTTGAAGCAAATGCAGTGTGTCCTTCCTGCCATAAAATTTCCCTCGTTCGTATGAAAGGAGTAGGATGCTTGAATTCCCAACGCTAACATGAAAAAACGGTTGAAAACTGCAAAGGTCGCCAACTTCATGGACATACCACTATGTTACACCACTGATTGACCTTTAGTGGCAGGTCCCGATATGACTGTATCCACCTAGCGAAACTCGGATAAATCACCGTTTCGCTGGTGGGCCTTAAAGCAATGGGTTCCGCCAACTCAGACCGTCCAGATCGAGTAACCCAAGCGACCTAAACACGAGACACGCAGAAATATAGCAACTCGTAAAAAATTCATACCTCAGGAGAAAAATCCTCAATATGGGTTTTCTCTTTCTCAAGCGCTGCCTTACTGACGAATAATGGAAAATAACAGTTCGTCACACCAAGCTCCGTTATCTTCGCATCAAACCACTTGTAAATTACGTCCCAAATCGCGAACGCCCATGGACGAATCACGTAGCAGCCGCTTACATCATAATATTCTATCATCTCTGCCTTTGTTATGACTTGTGAATACCATTCGGAAAAGTTGTCCTCCTTTTTCACTTCAAGTCCCAATCTTAAAAAACTTAAGTTGAAAATGGATATGAATGCACACACAAAAAAGGGAAAAAACAAATAACGTTTCAAGCCAAATTCTCAACTAAAAATTGAATTTCTGAACGTAGTCGTATTCCAATGTAAGAAGCTATGACTACGAATGTGCCGCTATCAGCGAATAAGTTTTGGACAAGTTAACGTTCATTTGGAATGTAGCTGTAATCACCTAAAACCAAAGGTTCAGTGCAAGTTATGATGGCTGGTCTTGGTGAGTCCCTGATTTACCACGGCCATCGTGAGTGGTCGCAGCAAAGATGGCGCGCCTCGCTGCTTGCAGATTTGTTAACTTTTGCCTGCCATCGCTCAACCGATGAATTTAATTGTTCAGGCAGAAAACTGCTTAACAAAACGTCGTTCTGTATAGTTGATTTGTCAAAACTGAAAAGATGAGGCAAAACTTGAACACTTCAATTTTTCAATCTCGTTGTTGTTAAAGTCAATTGTGCAACAGTTCGCAGATTAGGATTCACTTTCATAATCAATTCTCCTTTTGCATATAAAGCGTTGAACCTACTTGACCTTCTTCGATCTTTTTTGTGACGCTGTTTCACAAGCATGAATTTAACTGGTTCACTGGTGCGCTTATCAAGTCGTAACGTGAAGAAAATGAATTCAGAGTAAGCGAAAAACTAAACCCTCTTAAGGCACGTTCAAGATCCCGGGTCCACCTGAGATCAGGCAGAAAAGCGACAATCAGTCACCGTCGAAAGGTTAAAACTCAACAGTCACAGGTATACTGCTAATGCTTTAGCACTCAGTTTTCCCGTTTACGCTAGACGATAAAGAAATGCAAACCATAGAAATGACATTACACAAATGCCTGTTAACAGCAACCAAGGTCAACACCGTTTGACGACATGTTGGACATCGAAATTATTCCTTAAATTAGCTTGGTCAATCCTGCAACAGGATTGTGCAATTATTCGTGATAAAAATGACCTGGTCTTTGTGAGAACAACTGAAACTGAATATCTGACCACTCTGTACGTAGTTTCTTTTATAAAATTCATAGCCATCGTCTAGTCGATTATGAATTTTGTTAAACTTTTGTCCATAGCTTCATGTACATTTTAGTTTCACTGTTGTTTATTCAATTTAGCTTCCGCATATATTTTTTCGTTGTACCAATGCAGAAAAGCAAGATCCTTTGTCGATCGTGTTGAAACAGTAACGCATTGCTTTTGCTTTACTTCATACCTTGTTTGCTTTTTAACACGACCGGCCGACGATTCCTCAGTTTCAGTGGCTGCTGTCTGCTTGGCGGTCGAACTTTTCAGGGCCATGCAGCTTGTTTCGTCGATTATGCCATCAATGCAACAGTCATTCATAGATGGCGCAGAATCTTGCTCGTTCAGTACTGCAGGTGTCCATTTCTTACCAGACAAAGTGGAGTATTTAGCTTTTAAACTCTTCAGCAGCGTGATTTCCTCTGCCAGTACATCCTGTTAAACATTTTTAATTGTCAGAAAAGAAAAGCAATCTTAAAAGCTAATATACAAAATATCATATACACAGTGGTTTCGGCCATATTGACATAGGATGCTAAACACACTGACCGCCAGAAAATGAACGGATGCGGCTAACTCAGAACTATCGTGTCATGGGTGTTTGGAAGCATTCCTTCTGAAATCGCAGAACCAGTTTATAGAATCAGAAGAAATTGCCGTTTACAGTTGAAGCATTTATCTAGATTAGTGATTTATAAACTTTTCATATGAGAAATATCAGAACTATATTCAAAAACTTAGTACGAAAGCGTGTAAAAATACTTGGCTAACTATTCATAGCGTCTGCCGATCAGATATAAAAAACTGTGGCCCGACTTATTTCGGACTTATTTTACCGACTTTCTTCAAAGTAAAGTTGTTTTTGTTACGTAGATGACGCTGTCTGCAGCAGATGGCCCGCGCTGAGCCGGATGTCAGCATTCAGTCTGTGCTGTTACTTTAACAGCGTGTTTGTGGTAAGAGCGACACTCATCCAGTTGGCGCAATGTTCGTGTTTTGTTGCAGTTGGTAATATCGTTAGACCGGATGATCAATCCAACTTTCCATTCTGAAGCGTTTCTTCCGTCAGTTTCTTTGCTTATGATGTCGGTGAACTCGAACATATATTATTGGTGTTCTTCAGCATTGCACACTGTTCGAGCTCTGGGCAAGTTTGACACCAGCGTTTGACTTGGAGGAATAAAAGCTTTGTTTAATTCCAGGATGCTTCTTTTGAACTGTAGCTCGCATTCTTTGGCGATGATCCATCTTTCCTGAGGGGATCATTATACTCTGATCTACAGTGTTTGTG